GTTTCTTTTACATAGAATTAAAACGATAATCGCACTATTAAAGTAATCAAACTAGTATTTAATATTCAGATATTCCGGGGGAGAGTTTAGACTAACATTAATGGGTTACAGGTATCACTTTATTACTTTTATATTCATTAGCGGGGACATTTGCGTCTGTGTGTTATTGTCATATTTTTGGTATTCGTTGATAAACGTTTATTGTGGAAAAAATTGTAGGGTTTTTATATTGTGCTAAATTATATTATTTAGAGAATCGATAGTGATGTTGTTGTCATAAATATTAATCGTTGTAAAGTCGGTCAACACTCTCAAGTAATAAATTAAGTCATTTAGATTTATGGCCAAAGGGCCATATTGTAAAGTTTTGGGTTGTCTGTAAATAGTACCTGCCCCTTTTAGTAAAGAGTAAACGCATTTTCGGTTTTATTTTTAAATGGCAAACAGATGTAGATTAGTAGGGTAAATGCCTTGATTTGTATATATTTTAAAGTTAGATTGTGGTTAAAAAAATGTTTTCTGTCGTTCTTTGTAAAACAAAATTGGGTAGACAAATGTGTCATTTTAGCCGTAAGGAATGTTAGTTTTGTGTATCGAATTTTCGGTAAAAAGGAGATATGTACAGCAGCGGGTAGAATCATGAATATTGAGGAGGGTCGTATTTATTTGTACACATCCACATATCTTTAGTGGGACATTACGCGGAAGCAGTCGATATGTTATTTATTTAGAATAAATAGGTGAAATTGTGTTTGTGGACTAGCTAACGTATCCTCAGATCTGTGATTAGTAACACTGATTTGTCAATCGACAAAGCAAAAGAGCATCGCGCCGAAAAAGAAGCCTTAGGCCACCATAGACCGCCAGGTACCTCAATCGTAAGGGCCTAAAAATGGTATTTTCCTTGCGGCTATATAAATTAAAGCCTGATAGAGGCTTGGATGGATCTCTACTGAGATACCCCAAAAGCGGGCCTGACGGGCATCCCCCTTTATATCAGATGTTCTCCGATCGACCGTTCAGTGTTTTCCATACAGGACTGAGTATGTCAGTACATTACGGAATTGGAATATTAGAGAAAGGCGTGACACACGGTGAGGTAAATCTACACTCCGGTTTTTACACATATTAGAAATAATAATTTTAACCGACTTCAAAACAGGAGGAGGTTCTCAATTCGACACAATATTTTATATCTCACCGAACTCCCCGTGCTACCGCTGTACTCTCTTTTATTAGACAATGCGTAATTCAGTATTTCCGTGGAAACGTGTGATTGTATATTAGGAGACAAACAAATATACCAAAGTACTTCCGACTTTTATTTTACCCTTTAAAGGGAACTAAAAGCTCTGAGGTTAGAAATGACACATTGGAAATGTTAAGCCTAAAAACGGCACATAATGTAAATGTCCGGCTGTACAAAAGAATAGATGTTAAACAGTATTCCAAATTAATCTCTGCGTTTACTTTGTTCTTCCTCCATTACAGCTACATTGAACTCTAAACGTAATTCTGGGGGTTTTAACATACCTTCGTGGGGATCCACTAGACGAAATTTAGGCCAAGGTTAAGGGTATTTGGAAAACTAGGTTAGGGCCCGGTTTGTCAAGTTACAACATAGAAGGTGCTTTTGATAAAACCACCATCCCAAAGATAATACACTCACTAACCAACAGGAATGTGCTATAAATGGTTAGTGAGTGGATACATAACATGCTCTCAAAGAGAGTAGTAAACATAAGTGTAGAAGATGTGAATATAAGAGGCTTGGTTGCAAGGGGATGTCTACAGAGAGGGGAGATATCACGTCTACTGTACAATATGGTCCTTGACACAATCATCAGCCGCCTAAATAATGACAGTCACTACAGTCACAGGCATATGCAGATGACCTGGTCATTCTGCAAACAGGGAATTTTGAGAACATACTCTACTCTTATCGAACAGTAGTTCAAGGACCATTCACTGTCTATCAATCCTAAGAAGACAGAAATGATCCTTTTCACAAGGAATAATAGGATGAAAATGGAATTAAAACCTCCAGAACTCCTAAACACAAAACTAAACTTTGCAACAGAGGTGAAGTACCTAGGTCTCACCTTTGACAGCAAATTAACATGGAACTCGCATTTAGAAAATAGAGTTAAATGAGCATACATTGCTTATGAACAATGCCGCCGAACCGTGGGGCGCACCTGGGGTTTCTCCCCCAGAGTCGTCGCATGGACTTACACGGCTATCATAAGACCTATGTTAACATACGGTGCAGTTGTTTGAGTACCGAAAACCTACAAATTAACAGCTATGCGTAAACTAGAACAAATTCAAAGAACAGCATGTCTCAACATAACAGGAGCCATGAAACCAACACCGACCAGGACCATGGAAGTCATTCTCAGTCTCACTCCCCTTGATATTTACATCAAGGAGGTTGCTGTAACGACAATGACACGCCTCCGCACGGTTGGAATAGAACCTGATGTAGGATCTGGTGAGGCGGGACGACCCTTTTGGCAGGAGGTGTTCGATACGCTCCCACTGCTTCAAGCTAACATGGACTCCATCTCACCGAGATATATCTTTCATAAGCCATATAAAGTTATAATAGAACAAATAGAAGAGCCGGAAGTGGCAGGTACGATTAATATCTACACCGACGGTTCTAAAACAAAACAAGACTCGGGATGTGGTATATACTCCAGATTCTTAAACCTAAACATAAAATGGACTGTAAGCAATAGTGCCAGTGTAGTTCAAACAGAGCTAACGGGTATTCTCATAGCATCAAAAGAAATAACCAGAAACAATATCACTGGAAGGAACATGCTCATCTATACAGATAGCAGACAAGCACTACTCACCCTGAACAGACCACGAATTTATTCAGGGTTAATACTAGAATGTCACGAAGCTTTGGCCGAAGTGACAACAATGTGGTCATCTTAAGATGGATCAAAGGTCACGCCACATCGAAAGGTAACCGTCTTGTTGATTCACTAGCCAAGAAAGCAGCCAGCCAAATACTTTTTGGACCTGGCCCTTCTATTGGCCTGACAAAATCGGTAGTGACAGACCTAATCAAAGAACATTCCCTTGTGAAATTCAAGGAAAGATGGGATGAAACAAGAAACTGCAGAGTTGCTCTTAAGCTCTTAAGTTACCCTGACAACACTACATCAAACAAATACTTGACTATGACTAGACAGAATCTGCGCCTAGTCACAGGTATTCTGACTGGTCATTGCCAAGTACGGAAGCATCTCCATATCATGGGGCTGTCAGAATCCGCACTCTGCAGAGGGTGCAAACAAGAAGATGAGACCATCAAGTATATACTTTACGACTGCCCGACGGTCTCATTTATTAGAAGATTTGTGTTCGGCAGGTATCGGCTAACACCGGCCGATATAAGAGAAGCACCTCTAGGCGACGTTATCAACTACATAAAAATCTGTAGGCTGGCTCACGAGCTAGGAAGTGCCTATCATCTCAGGAGATTGCACAATGGGCCTAATGAGGCCTAAGTACCGTGGGGGTAACCCACCCTCCACACGTTACAGATACAGATACTTGTTGCAATTTGTATAATCTTTTCATGGATTCGAAACGCAAATTCTTTCATTCACTGTCAATTTTTTTCTTGCTTTTTTTATAAGTAATTTTAATTAAATTTATTCTTGGGTTTGGCTTCACCACAGTACTTTTTCGCGGACGATTTTTGCGATACAGGGGTATCCCAAAAAGTCGATTATTTTTATTATATTCGTAAATTCGACCCCGGACCTTAGCTTGTCTGATCCTGGGGCCCCAAAGATCTTTAACACTTGTCTCACATATACGAATTTCCGAGGTACACCGTCATCGTTGGATCCCTAATCGCATGACTAAGACCTGAGGAGTTGAGTTCAATTTAGAGCAGACCGTAGCTTCAGGAAGCCAGTATCAGTAAAATTTGAACGTTGCAATCCATCTTCTTCGATGTTAGAAAACCCTAGTTAGTAACAGTCAGCTGGTTACTAATCCAGGCTCTGCATCAACCGAACTAGACACTAGACCGTCCTGATCTGACCTGAGTAGACTTGTATGCTCAAACTACCTCGTGGGAGCACTCCAGCCAGAAACACTACAATTTTCAAAATACCTCGAATAAGTTCAATTTGTATTTAATTTGTAAAGGCACGCGGTCGAATTGTTAATTATTATTTTTTTTATATATATATATATATATTAGGCCTTCAGCCATTCTCTTTTTTTATTGCCCTCAGCATAAATCATTAAATGTTAATTTTCACTTGGCCTTCAGCTTAATGTAATTTTTTTTTTCCTTTTTAAATAAACTTTTCAATTGAATTCAAAACTTTTAATAAGCCTTTCCACTATCTAATTTTCAGGACTATATTTCTTTTCAGGTCATTATATTATCATTAGATATTTGTTCACTAATAAATCAATTTTTTTTTCACATTTTTTTTTTATAAAAATGATGGTGCCCTATTAACGAGAAAAGGTAAACCTATTCAAGTACCGAAAGGCCGTACCACGACCTGAGATTAGCTGGGGCATAATTCAAGGTGAAATCTTTAAAATATACATTTTTCAATAGACTTAATAACAAACTGTAGTCAATTGATGTTAAACACCACAAAAACGTCAAGGGAATTCTGCAAGGTTAATTTAATTTTCTTTGAAATATCACCTGTGTTTCGTTTTTTGCTTCAATGTAACCCAATAAACCAGGTGGCCTTCGGACATGATTTTTGAAGGATGAATTTGGGTAATTTCAATAGAAAATATAAAAATCAATATTTTAGAAATTTGCAGGTACGTATCGCTTTGGGATATTTATACACACAAATCTACGCAAACCTAAATGGTGAAATTTAATAGTTAGCTATTCAACTAGTGAATTGACACTGTTCGTGAGCTCAAGGGGGCACCTATACTAGCCACCCATTACTATACATAAATACCTATTGAACGTAATAAAAATAACTTACTTTTATTCTTATTCGAAGAAGTGCCGCTATCGGAGCTGTGAATGCTGTCTTTGGAGTCCTGTCGATGGATCATGTTCCGATTAGAATCGAAATAATCGGGTTTCTTCTTTCGAAAATCCAATTCCTCGGGATTGTTGATGTAGAAATTCAACAAAGCGTCGAACACTTTCGTGGCTTCGGCGCTTTGAGTGACAAGATCCTTTGTACTTAGATTATCTATAGCGAATATTATGGTGGGTCCCCAGCACACCGCCAAGTTGTACGTGTCCATTTTGTTTTGGTCTTTATACTTAACCACGTCCAATAAATGTCTTATTAACGCCAGTAACGTTTCTGCGTTCGATTCCGGTATGTGATTCAGTATTGTTCGTATGTGCTCTCTGTCCTTTTTGCAGTAATTTTTGTCATTTTCTGGAAAGAAAATTCAATTGAATCGGTAATTTGAGAAACAACATAAGTCAAAATAATTAAATTTTCAAAATACAAAAAACTTCTTTATACAAGATTTACATTTCAATTAAAAAAAGATATACGAGGTCTGATCAAAAAATATCCGTTATTTTCAAATTTCGTGAGTTACGTATGTTCGATTTTCGCATTTTTTTTTTCTGTTATGTTGGTACACATATCTGTTATATATGTTGGCAATATCAGCAAGCAACATCAGTCAGTTTGTTTTTGACAGATAAAAAGGTTAGTCGTGTTTTGGTGTGCTCTTCGATTTTTTACTATCCGAAAAAATGGATCAAAGAAACTGTATTAAGTTTTGTGTAAAAAATGAAATTAAATGCGCAAGGACATTTGAAATGTTGACTGTGGCGTTTTGCGAGTCTACTATGAGCAGAACACAAGTTCAATTGTGGTATAACCGGTTTAAGGAAGGCCGAGAAGATGTCAATGACGATGCTCGTCCTGGTCGCCCGAGCACGTCAACAACCGATGAAAACATTGAAGCAGTGAAGAAAATGATATTGGATAATCGTCGAATCACTATCAGAGAGGTTGCTGATGATGTTGGCATATCGTTTGGCTCATGCCAAGCAATTTTTACGGATGTTTTAGGCATGAAACGTGCGGCAGCGAAGATTGTTCCAAAATTGCTAAATTTTGAGCAAAAACAACGTCGCATGGACATCGCTCAGGAGCTGTTGAACATCGTCAACGACGATCCAGATTTCCTCAAAAAGGTCATAACTGGTGACGAATCATGGGTGTATGGCTATGACATTGAAACCAAAGCCCAATCATCCCAATGGAAGAGTCCAGAAGAGCCAAGACCGAAAAAAGCACGTCAAGTTCGGTCAAATGTGAAGGTTTTGCTCACTGTTTTCTTCGACTGCAATGGCGTGGTGCATCATGAATTCTTGCCACAAGGTCGTATGGTCAATAAAGAATACTACCTTGAAGTTATGCGCCGTTTGCACGAAGCAATTCGTCAGAAACGCACAGAATTGTGGAAAAAAACAATCATGGATTTTGCACCATGATAACGCACCAGCTCACACATCGATGCTTGTGCGTGAGTTTTTGGCCAAAAACAAAACCGTTATCATGCCTCAACCACCGTATTCACCGGACTTGGCCCCCGCTGACTTTTTCCTCTTCCCAAAACTGAAGACACCGATGAAAGGAAAGAGTTTTGTTACGATTGAGGGGATAAAAGAAAAATCGAAACAGGAGCTGTTGGCGATACCAAAAAGCGCGTTTCAGAAGTGTTTCGAGGATTGGAAAAAACGCTGGCATAAGTGTATTATATCTGAGGGGGATTACTTTCAAGGGGACAAGATAGTTATTGATGAATAAATAAATACTTTTTGAAAAAAATTGAAAATAATGGTTATTTTTTGATCATACCTCGTATGTTAATATAAACCCGATTTCAGACTTAATTTTTGACTTTGCCTCCCACTTCGGTGTCACAAGCTGAACTTTTCAGGAATAAAAGTACATGATAAGCTAACCCTTAATCCGGAGGTAATACAAAAGGGCACTATCATAAAAAATCGAGTTATTGATACCACCGTATAGAAAAAAAAAATGCTTATTTTTAGGTCTTTGTAGGAAGTATTTTTTTTAAATTATTTAAAAAAAAATCATTTGCATTAGCCCTTATGGTCGAAAAAAAAATTAAACGTCAATATCTCGGTTTCAACCGTTCACAAATTTGTATAAAAAATCTTTTAGAAATATACCTCTCATTTGACGAAAAACGAACGCCTAAATAAAAAAAAAAAACTATTCTTCATAAAAGTTTCGCCTATATATTGTCAAGCTAACAGTGCTTTCCTCATATTTTTTGCTTTTAAATTAACAAAAATATAGGAATAAACAATTAGAGACAGCATGGTTTTACTAGAAAGCAAACATTGAAGGCAGAGCCTCTCGACTTTCTATGCGTCTCTCTCAGTGCTGAAATGTATGCAATCAGTTTGATTCTCTTATATTATTTTATACAGGGATTATTGATTTATCCGCTATAAACAAATAATAGGGTGTATTAATTACTTTATGAGTAAAATGAAAATTAAGAAAATAAAAACTATTTATTGAAGGTATAAACACAGTTTATAAACAGTAAGGCTAATTGCTTTGCAATATACAATAAATTCCCAATATAAACAAAATTATAATAATAATAATTAGAAGTATATAAAGCATAAATTAATAATATTAAAATTTATAAGTACAAGACTTTCAAACTAATCAGAATCAGATTCACCACACGAATCAACATTAGGGGCTGTGGTCAAACTATTTCTGCAGTTTATCTGTGTCATATAGGTGCAGGAACCGATACAGCCAATATTTTTTCCTGCATTTGCAAAGTTTGCTTCTAGTCTATAACAGAATAATATTGTTAGAATATTGTACATCTATAAAAGTTATCGGTGTATAGTACCTTTTTTGCATTTGTATGATGTAAGTTCTGTTATGTCTGGTGGCAGGTTGGGCAGAGTCTTAAGAGTGGGTATCAGACTTTCATCTTGATCTACTTCTCATCCATATTCTTTAACATTAGGAATCTTAAGGAATTTTAAGAGCTTAGCCAAATATTTAGCTGGTAAAAACATCTAAAACAATGTAATCTCAGGGCGTCTTCAGTCGGTGGCAATTTAGAGATGGTTTTTGAAGAGGCCATTATTCCCCTCCAAATGTTAATGGAAGTAACACTGGCAGTTTTTGAATAATTTTTTATGAAAAATTTTTCAAGATTAGAGAATATGTTTTCAGTGTACTAAGGTTTTCATCCAAATTTAAATCATGTACTCCTAGAAATCGTCTCGAGTCTCCTCGCTCTGTTCTGAACCATATTTCTCTAGTCAAAAACTTCTTAAATTAAATTAATAAGACTAGAACATCTGTATCGTTGCAATCAATAATGCAGCGTGAATGCCTCGAATTTTTGGCTGACAATATGTGCAATAAGATACGAGTATCAGCTTCTTCGTGATTTAAATTTAAGAAATCGTCTTGATGGTTCAAAATTCGTCCCATATTTATTAATATTCGCGAATCCACCACTAGTTCCAAATTGAATATGCTTTTGCCGAATGGAATTTTGAAGACGTTGCTCTGACAAAAAATTTGTTAAACGTATTTTGTTAAATATCTAATGAATAAACAAGTTCCATTGTTGCGGAAGTGGAATATTGGGTCGGTCAATTTCTATATCAATTGATTTCTGGGATTCTCTCTTTTGACGTGTTGCATTTTTGATAGAATGTTCTTTATAATGATCAAATACTACATCTACCCTTTGAGCATTAAATTTATTTCTAAAAATAATGTTTACGAATATATTAGCATATTCTTTAAATGATATGCAACTTTTCGGCTTTCTCAAACCTTGAATTATTGCCATCCCATCAAAAATGTGACAAGTTTTGCCAGAGTCAATAGGTGCAGGTAAGTCTTTGTCAGTAATGCCATATTGTTCTAAAATATTTCCCAATGAACTCTTATTTGTGGAAGTACCGAGATACCCATTCACTGTTAGATACATCAAAGAGGCTGTCAGCTTAAACTTAAATATTTCGGCATAATTAATGCTTCTATCCATATCCTCTGCTAATAAAAATTTTTGAAGAAACTGTTGACCATCCAACGATTGAGAAGTTAGAGAGTTTTTAAGTTTTCTGTTGATGGTCTCAGTCCTTTGTATTTTCTTTAATGGCTCATAAAAATCTGGAGTATCAACAATACTTGAAAAACTCTTCAAAGCCGTTTGACCCTTTTCTTTTGCTGTTAATTTTAAGGCCTCTACTTCTGCACTGAGAATTTCCTTAGTTGATATAGAAGTTAATTTCGATGATTCATATTTAAAAACTCCAAATTTATTAAGCCGTTCCACTAAAGTAACCACCCATTCTTCATCTAAGGCCATTCGTTTTTTCCCGATTTCTATATTTTGACTCAGGGGGCGTTCATTAATTACGTGAGGTATTTTTGAGGATTTTTTGACTCCCCCTCCCCCCTGGCGAGATTTGGTAAGATTTTCCTTAACTCCCTCCCCCCCTTCCCTAATCTCACGTGAGATTTTTCAAAATTTGTGTTTTGGGTGTAAATGTGTTGGATTATTAAAAAAAAAAAAACAAAAACACAATATGTTCCATTACTTTTATTTAAGACTAGCAAAGACTAGTGTTTGAGAGTGTTGCAATTATTTAAAATCACATTAATAAAATTAAATGATAAATACTTAAATGGAAATTAATAAAAAATAAATAAACATAATTATAAGATTTTTCCATATTTTATTCTAGAAATACTATAATTTAACTTTACTTTCACGCAATTTTATACCGTTTTCTACTAGAAAAAAATTACGTGAGATTTACGAAAACCCCCCCTCCCCCCCAAGTGAGATTAAGAAAGATTTAGTTTTATCCCCTCCCCCCCTTGAACACCTCACGTAATTAATGGACGCCCCCTTAGACTCTTTGGCTAGTTGAAGTCTTGACAAAAATGTCGTTGAAGCTTAAATACCATTCATCCAATCTGGTGCTGTTCTTTGTAAAACCAACAATACCTCCCGCGTCTTTTGACATTTTATTAACATGTTCAACAGCTTGATCAACTGAAATTCTGTTAAAATCCCCACTCAGCCTCTTGACAACAAACTGTCCTTCCATATATTCTTTATAAACAGCAGGTGCTAAATTCTCTAAATTTTTCATATCGTTCAAACAAATACGAGTATAATTAGTGTGATTGTACACAAAAAACCATGGAACAATTTTTTGAAAACATTGCTCATTGGCACCTAACGAGAAGTTTTATAATAATTAAATGAAAAAATCCTACCTTATTAATAATGTGATACATCAGCCGACACGTAGAGAGAAACAGAGCTATGCTCTACGTTTATTGTTATATCTTTGTTAATTTAAAATCAAAAAATATGGTGTTTACTCTGTTTTATAAAGAATTTTTTTTTATTTAGGCCTTCCTTTTTTGTTAAATGTTAAAAGACGACTTTTTAACCAAATTTTTAAAGGGCTGAAACCGAGATATTTACGTTTATATTTTTTTTCGGCCGTAAGGGCTAATGCAAATATGATTTTTTTTTTTAAATAGGTATAAACAATTACAAAGATTTTATTGTGCATTGGACCAAAAAATGAGTATTTTTTTTTCTCTATTCGTTGTATCAATATCTACCTCTATCTACCTCCGGAATAAGGGTGACCTTATCATGACCTTTCATCTCTGAAAAATTCAGCTTGTGACAAAAAAATTGGAGGTAAATCGTTTTCTAGAGCGAATATTTTAATACATACACTCTACTATAAAAAAAAAACAATAAATATTACTTACTCGTATATTCTAATAAATTATCGCAAGTTTTGCAAGACAGCAACGGTTCCTTCAACTCCCTAAAAAACAACTTCAAACTACCAGTCAGTACATCCGGATCTTTGGCGTACACGTCCAATATATCCAAATTGCCTTTGTCGACTTCCAAACGGATTTTTTGTATCGTCGCCAAATTACCAGACGTCCTGTATAAACCTAAACTCGTAATATTATCGGGTCTCTCGATCAGTTCCATGGTTTTCAGAATGAATTTCGGTACACCACATTCCGTGTTGTAAATGCTGGTGAGGGTGTTGCCGAAAATCGGTTCGTTCTGGTAAATTCCCTTCTTTTCCAACACCTCCCTGCTGGATCTTTTGCCGAGGAGTCGAAGAAGGGTTTTGGTTATGGTGGACTTCTCGTTGTCCTGATAGGCGCCGACCTTTTCGCTTTCTACGAACAGTTTGGCGTCTTTGGAGGAATCGAAAACCAGCAGGTAATTTTGGTTGCTGATGTCCTTCAGTTCCACTTCTCGTTTGTTTATCAGTCTGGCCGATTTCAAAATTACGTTACATTTTAATACCTGGAACGTAAAAAAGCGTTAAAGATTACTTGGAAAAAGTCTCAGATAAACAAATGAATAATAATGGGTGTCCCAACAGGAACGCACATTTTGAATTGCGTGGCATTTTTACCGTATTCGTAGTAGGGCAAAAAAACAAATGATAAGAAAAATGTAAACAGTTTGCGATTAGTAGCCATGGAACGATATATGGTCGAACAACGAATTATTATTGTTAATAACACACTACAAGTATGGAGAATGTTATACGGAAACAGTTCGTAAATTGCGTGGCATTTTTGGTCAACACAATGCACTAAATCACACGACCGTTCAAAGACTGCTTAACAAATTTGAGCAAAATGGTTCTGTCGTGGACGTGAAAACATCAGTGCGTCACCGTAGTAGCCGCTCTGTTAAAAACATTGCCGTAGTGCGTGAAAGTGTTCGCGAGAATCCGGAAACATCTATCTGTCATCGTTTACAGCAGTTGCACATTTCAAAGAGCCACTACCCATCGAATTCTCATAAAAGATCTTCATTTCCATGCTTATAAAGCCGGCTACTCACTATGCGTTACTTGCCGAATTACTTGACTTGGACTGAACTTGGCAAGTACTTGTTCGAGTACAAGTAAATCGTCTACATTACGCGCGCCTTCTAAAGTAGTAGTAGTAACTTTACTCGAATCCTTTGACTTCGGTCCGTTTACCGACAACCGACGGGAAGTACAAGTAACTTGCTGAGTCTATACAAGTCTCCATACACATTACATGGTACTTGCAAAGTACTTGACAAGAACTTGGCAAGTAACGCGTAGTGAGTAGCCGGCTTAAGATTCAATTGACCCAAGAATTGAAGCCATTGGATCATGCGACACGCCATACATTTTCTTCTTGGAAATTGCAAAACCAACAAAAGAATGTCGATTTTTCGAAGAATAATCTGTTCAGCGATGAGGCACACTTTTAGCTTAACGGCTTTGTTAATAAACAAAATTGCCGGATTTGGGGTAAAGAAAATACTAAAATTATTCACGAGAAAAAAATGCATCCATTAAAAGTCACTGTTTGGTGCGCAATTTAGACAGGTGGAGTGATTGGACCATATTATGCTCACTGAGTTTTTGTGGTCTCAACTGGATGGTATGGATACGGAAGCTATCTGGTATCCAACAAGATTGTGCGACATGTCACACTACACGCGAAGCAATTCAGTTGTTGCAAGGAAAGTTTTCCGGTCGTGTCATTTCACGTGATGGAGATCAGAACTGCCCGCAAGATCGTACGTTTTAACGCCTTGTGATTTCTTCTTTTGGGTTGTTTTTAAAATCCTTCGTAAACGCTAATAAACCAACAACAATTCCACAGTTGAAGAACGAAATTGAACGCGTTATTAGCGAAATTGGACAAAAATTGTGTGAAAATGTGATTGAAAATTTCTTGAAAAGAATAAGAGTCTATCAACAAAGTCGGGGTGGCCATTTGCCAGATGTTAGTTTTCACATTTGATTGCAGTGTATTAACTTTAAATTAAAATATAAATAACACTTAGTTTAAAATACTTTTATTTCAGAATTAAAATGTGCGTTATTGGGACACCCTTTAGATAACTAACGGTCTGGATCCAGTATGAACCGTTATTTCTATTACTTTCTCTTTCTCCTTGGTCTTTGATGTGATTCGTCTATTTTAAAAGGCAGCGCCAAAATTATCTCACAACTGTCAACAAGCACTTGGGACACATACTTTGATTACTATACGAGGCAAGAGAGAGGACCGACACGCCCAACATAGGGCGCGGCCATTTTGAACCCTGTGACACAGTTTACAGCTAAATAATCAGATCGCTCACTCTGCGTCGGTTCTTTGGATCTCAATGTTCTAGTTTATACACTGCGCAACTTAGATAATACAATATATGACAACCGCCTATAATAAAACAGCAGTCTTCTGCGTATCCTGAATTTGTATTCCTAGAGTGGATGTTATTTTGGAACTTTCAACTGGTCCGAGTGAGCTAACTGATTCTTTAGCAATAAACTGTGACTTCAAAAATAATATTCACTGACACTGACAGAAGCAAGCAAAATATCAGGTGCGTTTTAATCATCCGCTTCTGCTTCCGGAATTGTCGGTTTAGTCGTTTTAACCTGTCAGATTAAAACAAGAAAACCACACAATTCCGAAGCAGAAGCGGATGATTAAAACGCACCTATTAAAAATATTGCGCCAAGATGTAGGCAACACGTAATAAGGGTTCAAAATGGCGGAGTTTTCTATCTCCTTTTAAAAGGCACTCAGAAAGCTGCGCAGTGCGACCATTCTCCGTATAGTAAAAGAAAATCAAAGTATGTGACTTGGGACACATCAAAGTATGTGACTTGGGAACTGTCAGTTTTGTTAAAAGTTCCACGTCGTTTCAAACTTAAGTAACTTAAATTATTATTAGTAATTTTTTCCGCAGGTTTCCTACAAAATGAAGACTAGAGAAGAGGCGAATCGGTATACTCAAAATACGGTCCTAAAAACCGAACGCTAATTGAGCTTTTTCAATTCACCGCAAAGGCGCTGATGTACCGTTATTCAAAATAAATGGCTTCTTATGGGAATTTTACATAATTTTATCAAAATAATAAAATAAACTTGTTTATTGCCAAATAAAGCGTGAAATAGAAAGATGGTGTTTCTGTTATTTTAAATTGTTTGTAATCGTCCCCCATGTTTTATTAAATTTTGACTGCACCAGAAGATGGAAAAAAAAATTCCGAAACATATGTAGTGCTTGTGCTTACATTATAAAAAATGAAACTATGGAAAATTTTATTTAAATAAATTTCTGCTACGGTCAGAAAAATATCATTATTGAAATAAATTATCTATTGTAATATTTCTCACCAGAAATTACTTGGCCTCTGCCGCAAATTTCTGATTCGGCCGAAAAAGATCAACTCTATACTTATAGCCTTTGGTACACAAATATCTATTTTATTTATATGACATTAAAAATTTATGAAAAATGTATTTCTCATCTATAAAATTGTTATTTATGATATAGAAATCTTTTAGTTCATTAAAACAAAAATAAAACCTGAATCGATAACAAATCACTAAAAATTTGCTAAAATTGGACGTTTTTATAGAAAATTTTATTGTTACTATTTTTTACTAATAAAGCTACAGTTAATTTATTTTAGCGTTTTATTTAAATGCAAATATATTATCTGAACGAAATTAATGTCATTAGTCAAGGTTTTCAGGCCTCGTCATGTCAACCTTTGTTTTAGATGTTTTTTTCTTTAAATTTGCCCTTGACAAAATATTTACAAAAGAATCCTTCGGATTCTGATAAAAAAAACTATTTGATATACCCATGGAGACTACAACTGTCAAAAGTTCGTAGAACTGGCTTCAAACTCTATATCTATGCTTCAAACAAAGCCTATGTTAAACGGCGTCCGTTAGTTATCTATATTTCATTTGGTTTATCTGAGGGAAAAGTACTTTACGGCTTACTAAGAGTATAAAGAGAAAAGATGATATTGCACATATTTCTACAGAAAGATCTAATTGATATGGAATTAACTAAGTACTAAAAATTTTAGAAATTAAATTATTAACAGTATGATTTTTCATGTGGTAGGACAATGATTGGGCTTCAGACATTGGAAACGATGATCTACTATGTGTAAGAAGAAATATTATGTTTAACCAGCATTACCCGATGATATAGCTTTAGTTACTATGTTCCACTCATCTTTTCTCTTTTACCTGATGAATATAGGGAAATAAACACGAATTAAATTATAATGATATTGCCATGGGACACCTTTCGACAAACGCAAGTTTTTTATTTTACATTTTTTATAAAAATACTGTGAAAGTTTTTTTTTTAAATTGCTCTTATTACTTTAAACACATATAAAAAATGGGTCTAGTAAGGCCTAAGTGCCGTGGGTTAACCCACCCTTCACACGTTACAGATTACGTATAAACAAGTACCTACATTAGTATTAATGGTAATTATATCGAAAAATAAAGTCATTATTAATTACTTTGTCAAAAAACTACTCACTTTGCAACTTATCTCGTCACTTTTAATTATGGAATTGCTTTGAAATTGGAGATATTCATTTTTCTTCAACTTTTCAACTTTATCCGGCAAATGAATCTTGATGCAGCCCCTTACCTCGAAATCTTCCCGTCTGAAAAATAAGTAGTATATTACACAAGTGTGGAAAGTGTAATATTTCGCACGTAGTGAAGTTCTTCAATTTCAAACTAACTCGTGCGAGAAATACACTTTCCAAGTAGTTGTAAACGAGCATGTTAAAATGTCCACGTAAAAAAAATATTATCGATAAATATGAATTTAAGTATACTCATTTAAAAAAAAGTAAGTACCTAAATTGAAAAATAAATTTTCCTACGGCCACTTAGGAAAGTGACACATATCACACTATATAGACCTATGGAAAGTGCCCTATATCACACGCGTATGAATAAGAATTTACTTTCCACCCAAGTGAGAATATGCTACTTTCCGCAGTAGCTGTCAGAAAATGTCAAACACATAATTTCTATTTTGATCTATGTAATGTCCATATTAATACTAAAATCGATATGATTGTTAAATTATTGTAAATTAGATCCTAGATATTTATCTTTAACAATTATTTTTAAAATAATTTTAAAATAACTAAGATATATTTGCTTTTTATTCTGGTTAAACACATAAGCGATTAGATCAATCAATTACCGTAAGGCCTGTTAGCTCAGTTGGTTAGAGCATCAACTTTGCAATTTGAGACCGTCCAACGACCGCGATCGAATCCTGGCTGTGCCAGATTTTTTTTTTTATTTTTTTTTATTTGTTTAGAAATTATGAAATAGTATATTACATTACGAGTGTGGAAAATCACTTTTCACACAAGTGATGTACAATATTTTTCCTACGACCACAAAATAATTTCATCAAAAAATGTAAAACCAGATTATTATAATAATTAAAATGTATTTAAAAAAATAATCAACAATAATCGTATTTATTAAATTTTCATAATTTCTAAACAAATAAAAAAATAAAAAAAAAATAAAAAAAAAAATAAAAAAAAAAATTCTGGCACAGCCAGGATTCGATCGCGGTCGTTGGACGGTCTCAAATTGCAAAGTTGATGCTCTAACCAACTGAGCTAACAGGCCTTACGGTAATTGATTGATCTAATCGCTTATGTGTTTAACCAGAATAAAAAGCAAATATATCTTAGTTATTTTAAAATTATTTTAAAAATAATTGTTAAAGATAAATATCTAGGATCTAATTTACAATAATTTAACAATCATATCGATTTTAGCATTAATATGGACATTACATAGATCAAAATAGAAATTATGTGTTTGACATTTTCTGACAGCTACTGCGGAAAGTAGCATATTCTCACTTGGGTGGAAAGTAAATTCTTATTCATACGCGTGTGATATAGGGCACTTTCCATAGGTCTATATAGTGTGATATGTGTCACTTTCCTAAGTGGTCGTAGGAAAATTTAATAAATACGATTATTGTTGATTATTTTTTTAAATACATTTTAATTATTATAATAATCTGGTTTTACATTTTTTGATGAAATTATTTTTTGGTCGTAGGAAAAATATTGTACATCACTTGTGTGAAAAGTGATTTTCCACACTCGTAATGTAATATACTATTTTATAATCAATTAAGGTAGCGCGCATTTGTACAGGGTGGCCAAATTTCGATGTTTTCGTTAACTATAAATGGTATGGAAAAATGGACCTCTCATCCTCGATCTTTTTTTTTTTTTTAGAATAACATTTTCAAAAATTGGCTATTGTCTTTTGTTTTTGAGTTATAAACAATAGTTGGTTTTTCAAATTTTCATTATGTGGCATTTTATCTCGTTTATTTATGAAAATGGAAGAAAATAATGTATACCTTCTTCAGGCACTTTTTTGATAAGAATCCAATGACGTAGTTCGAGTTATAGCATAAAGTTGTATTTTTTGTTTGGAACGTAATGGAGCGTAATCTACATGCTAAAATAGGAGTAACAGTTCATATAAACATAGGTCCGAAAACGTTTCGTTTCCGAGATACAGGGTGTTAAAAGTTAAATCCTGATGACACATTTTTGTAAATATTTTTTAAACGTTTAAAGATAACTAAGTGAAATTTGGTACAGATGCTAAACTTTTAACGCTCTATTTAGTGGACTAAACCCCAGTTTTTGATCATCTACGTAGGTGGGTAAAATTAGTTTAAATAAATAGTTTAAACGTCGACAGTAAAAGAAATAAATTCTCATCAATAGTTTTATTGGCCAAAGCCAACCAAACCATTTGAAAAAAAAAACAAGTTTCTTTATAAAATAAACATTTAAAAACAATTAAAGTTAAATAAATTTCTTTAATCAAATTTTAATTCCACAGGCCTACTAATTATTGTTTGCATTTTCCAATAAGATAATATGAACTTACCATGAAATTTTCAAATGCCTTTCTCTTAAAAATTGTGCGTCCTAAAATGTGTCATCAGGACTTCACTTTTAACACCCTGTATCTCGGAGACGAAACGTTTTCGGACCTATGATTATATGAACTTTTACTCCCATTTTAGGATGTAGATTAGGCTGTTAAAATATGATCGTCTAATTTCGGGATACCCTGTATATAATGTGGGGTCAGTTTATTCATTTATGTCGGAAAACTAAATGGCTAACGATATTTAGCAATTTTAAACGAACACATATTCGATGGTTTTTTGAACGATTTGACGTTGAATGAGAGACGAGATATATTTTTTCAACACAATGGGGCACCCGCTCACAATACTAGAAACGTTTCTGAATTGTTAAATCTTCATTTTAGAGATAAATGGATATGGACAAAAGGACCGGTAAGATGGCCACCACGTTCACTAGATTTAACGCCCATAGATTTCTTCAAAAATACTTCCAATAATATTAACAAACTAATGCAAAATTTTATAGAATGTTAAAAATTGGGTAATTTTCCTTTTATTTATATTAGGTTATGAAACACATGCTTTTTCTAATATTTATATAATAAAAACTGCAGTTACCTGTAATATCGCCGTGGATCACAGTCTAAAGTCTTTGATTGTCTTAACCTACTGTCATTCCTATGTGGCCTAAGTTCAACTTCGCCAAGAATTCTATTATCATCTGTTTTTGGAAATGGCCCCACACTCCGAGATAGCGGTTCATCTTTGTTGGATTGTAGGGTCCTTAGCACTTCCTGTAACAAAAACAAAATATTGAAAATATTACAAATTTAATAACAATTTACGTAAAAAATTTAGGAATTTGTAACAATCAAATATATTCAAAGGCGAAATACATAAACAGGTATAAACATCCAAATAAAACAAAAACAAACATTATTATCACCCACATTACCAGTTTCTTGCTTTTTATTTTTTTTTTTTTTTTTCTGAAAAAATGCAGGCGACAAAGTTGAGATTCGTGTTCTGGAAGAATTATTTTTTTTAATTTTGAGATTTCATGAGAAACTATTTAAAACTGTCTTAAGGGGGAGAAGTTTTTAAACTTTATTTTTGCGTTTTTTATATTTGATTTTGTGAATGGAAAACTTATCAAGAATATTGGGTGAATATTTGAGATGAATCGGAGCAAAACTAAAGAAGATGCAGCGGTTTGAGTAACCGCGCCTCATACATGACTCAGCGCATCAGAAAATACCTGCCCGGTCCGAACGCGCTATTGTTACCTGGCAGCGAGGGCAGCTTCAGGGGAAGGGGAATTGAAAATTCTTACGATTTATGAGCCATTTATTCAAAAAAATATGCTAAAAAGAGAATGATTAAAGGCAATGGCCCCCACCGAAAATTCGTTTCGGAGTCGCCCTTGCCTGGCAACTGTTTCGCTCACTATATGATCCCTAACCTTACCTCCTACCTTTTTTTATAGAAATTTTAACACAAGTACTGTGTGTACTGTATATAATTTAGTGTAGCATTGGCCTGGCATGTTCTTTTGCTCTACTAACCTACATGCAAAACATAAGAATCAGTAGTGGATCAAGCGCTCATGAATGAGGATTCGTCGTAGACAGGAGCAAAAAGATGCTTCAGACATCATGAATGAAAGCAACATCTTTTATGGATCTGGCATCGATGATTCAGTGTGAGATAAGCCGATAAAACTCAAAACTTTAAAGCGTTTTTCCCACAACTCATGTTTCCAAAGTCGGTGCTCCTCATAACTTCAAAACTACTGCACCTATCCTTTTGAAATTTTGAACACTATTTCTGTACATAATTTACGAGGTAACGCTGGAAAGTTTTTTCAAATTTGTTAATATTTTTTATTTTATAATAACAAGTTAGCCTATTTTTTTCGCAAGAATCGCGTTTCTTACTTCAAAGTGTTCCCAAAAAGTGAAAAATTTAAATTTCGAAAAACCCTCCCTGCGTTACTTGGGGAAAACGAGAAAACTTTGATTTTTTTATTTCTGATGATCCAGCACCGAGTTAGGAGGGGCACCGCAATTCTACTTTTTTCCGAATAATTGCTACGATTTCCATATTTTTTAATATTTCTACATGAAAATTTGACACAATATTCTTTGAATGTTATACTTTAATGTACCATTAGTTTAAATAAACAGATTTTAACTGTGTCGTCAAAAAAAATTCACAAAAATGTGCCTTTTTTTGTACGAATTAACCTTACCCTCCTCTTAAATGTTATTACAATTTGTATAAATGGAACGATATTTTTAGAAGTGGTGTAGCTCAGTGCTACACTTTCGATGCAAAGGAAAATACCTGAAATTTTGAGATTAGAGTCCTTGTTCTTACACATATTTCCAACCTCATTTTAAAAATTTTAAATTACAGTTCATCTTTTTTATTGTTTATAATAGTACATAATATGGAAGAGGCATTAGAAATTGCCATTTTAGAAGATAATAATAAATATTTAATATTAAAAAACTTCGAACTGATACGAATGTTGGTAAGTGCACCCGAAAACTATAAAGTCGCTACTAACTGCTGTCCTTAACCAATTAAGGACAGGCACAATCTTTATTAAAGTCAGTTCTAAAATATAAGTGATCTACGCAAGTCAAAATAAGAGCGGCACTAATAGTGGCTGACCTTAAGTGCAATAACTCTCTATTACTCGTACTCGTAGTATAAATTGTCTCTGGTATAAATCATGTATAAATAAACACCTTTTATTTTTCTATGAATAAACATAAACAACATATGACGACATAATCATATGTGTATTGTCAATTGACATTATCCGTTGTCTATTAGAGACAAAAGCCAAATACGTCACTGTTTCATTTGATAGAAAAGAAGAAATTTAAGATTTAACATAAAAGTTGAACCTGTCAATTAGTAAGCATAAATATTAATAGAGAGTTATTGCAAATTTCTATAACGCCAGCCACTAATAGTGACATCGTAATTAGAGTCAAATAAATTCCATGCTAAAATCAGACTTATTGCAAACCTGAAATTTTGACATTAGAATACTTGTCCTTATATTTATTTATAACCACATTTCAATAACTTTAAATTATAGTTCATCTTTTTTGTTGTCTATAATAGCACATACTATTGAAGAGGCATTAGAAATTATAATTTTAAAAGGTTTAATAAGGGTGAGTTATTAAATCTCTTTCCTAGTTTTCTGTGAGATAATCCCGGTACTATCTTATTGTTATTTGATTGATATCATAATTACCTAAGTACCCTTATTTACTTTAAATAGTTAGTTTATTTTGTTATGTTATTGATGTTTTCTTAAGTACTTTGTTTTGTTAAATTATTTAGCATATATATTGGATACCGAATTGTAAATTAGTCACATTTGAAAAAGAAGTTGTACTTCGAAACATGTCATGTGTAGTGTTTTTAATTTTTATTTTTTAAAATAAAAGTTTTGTGAAAATCTACCAAATTTGGTTTTACCCATTCAAGATAAAATGGATTTTCATCAAGTAAAGGCCGAAACAATAAATAATTTAGTCAAAATATACCAATTAATTATTTTGTTTGATTTTCTACATTTTTGCGTAACTAGCAAAAAGTTAAATTTCAAAAAGGCCACCCCTAGCGGCCATATTGAATTTAGCACATCGCTTCAGAATTCTACCATTGAGTTTCCCATCTATTCGCACCCACTGACCCAACATCAATGGGACCAGGGAAGGCGCGCTCCCTCTTCCTCCCTTTGAGTTTAGAGCACAAAGGTATTGGGGGCCTCTTCGTCCCGTCCGATCATTAGACAACGTCTATGATCTTAATTTCCCTTTTACTTTAAAAATCTTTGTATCGCAAAAATAGTTATATTCCGAATTAGTCTAAAAAAGATCAGACTTTTGTAAAGAAAAACTAGTGTTATATGAGCCATTTCATTATTCAGTCATGCTCTAACCCTCCAAGTCCCTCTCTGTCTTATTTGGCCTTTGAGGCTCAACTTGTCCGATTATTATACATAATTAAACCCCTTAAGACCAAACCTATTGGACGACTATGGTGGAGGTGCTTTCGATGACTATTCGAGGAAGGCCGGGATAATGATTCTAGTCTATTGGTGAGAATATGTGAACTTTCTAGAACATTCGCCAATTTTTTAAATTTGTATATAAATATTGGTAATATTGGTGGAGGACCTATCAGAGTTAGTTATTATATGGACAGTGAAGATAAATAGTAATTAGTAGATAGACAGTGGTGAACATAAATAGTGAACGATTCAAAGACATTCGAAATATATATAAATTAAAATAGTAGTGTTATAAAATAAATAGGTGTTTAAATAAATTATTAATAAATAAACTGTTGTTTAAAATAAACAAGCGTCACAATAGTTTTGTCTTTTGGCACTCTAAATAGATAAATAAGCAAATTATTTATCTAGTACTACCTTTGAGGTAAAAGGTGACAAACAGAATTATAATAAAATAATAACGCAATGATATCGCTAGAACTGAAATATAAAATGATGTATTAACGAAATTTAAACTATTGCTGTAGACGAGTAATTAATATAATAATCAGTTTTGTTTCTTTCCGTCTACTCAAATTTTTAGTGCAATAGCCTTATCTCCGCAACAACAGTCTGGAGTAAAAATTTTTATCAGAAACTGATTTAACTTTCCATGCAATGTAATGTCCTTGACATATTTTTAATGTGTACCAATTAACCAATTAATTTAATCATAAATGGATTTTTCTGGTGATGATGGTCATGATGATGATGGTGATCTAATATTTGTGTCATTTCTTTTATTTGGAATTTACGCGTTAAATAGAATCTAGTTCTAGGTTTCTATTTCATATCAACTGAAAATAAATTTTAATACAAATAATCCCAATTAAATGACCGTATTGTAAAATGTATCTGATCCAGAGAGTATTTTCTTTCTTTTTTGGTTGCAAAGTTTTCAATTACTTTATTATTAAAATTTTCAATTCCATTTACAAAATTTTATTCATTGTCACAATAAATTAAAAACTAGGAATAATAAACATAAGAATAAAAAATAAATTAAAGAACATTATTCAAACTGTTTTATTAGTTTTTTTCTAGTCTTCAAATTTCAACAAAAAATTGTCGTTGTTCGTACTGTCAAAACATTTTTCGCATACGATGTTCAGTTTCTATAACAACTAGTACAGAGATGTCATATAGAAATTAATTTGACGTTTTGAAGAGAAAGTTAATTTTATTATTTTCATTCAAATTTCATTGCTTTTAAAATGCTGTAATTTTTCAAAAAATACCCCTTACATTTATTTAAAAAAACTAATATTTTTCTCAATGTGACAAAACCGCATCCATCTAAACTAGTAATTTTAATTTTCCTAGCCATTAAGATAATTAACAAATTTTAGACCTACAATGCTACAATCATAAATACATTTGGCAACTCCGTGATAAAGTTGGAAAATTTTAATCAAAATAAATCCATACTTAAACTTTCCTGATGATAATTTTATACTACCGAAACGTCTAAAAAGGTTAATGTTGTTTTCAATTCGGACTATTCTACAGTTTAAAGTGGTATCTAAAGAGGATCTCTGAATTTTTTTGAGACAAAATAATCAATATTTTAATTTTTACAAAGATTTTTATCACTTTATATGTTTCACACGGCTGAGAAATAGATTTATTGCCTTGGCAGTAAATCTGTTACTTCTATTCCTAAAACAAATATCATCTTTTGCTATTTTTGAAAATAAAGGCAATACAGTC